AATACTTTTCGTACACAATTTTGGCTTGAAGAAAAGAAATGGTATGTAACATATGATCAATGGATTGATACTTCAGTTTCGTTTCTATATACAAATCCATGTTGTACAGAGTATCGTTATCCATTACCACGTATGAAAAAAACATTAGTGACTGAATCGACTGGATTAGAACCAATGACATTTCCATATAATCAATATCTGGTATTTGGTTATGATTTACCGATGCAAAAAGACCATGTACGTCGATTCACCCATATCCATACATTAATCGTGGAAAATAATCTTGACTTATCATTTGAATACATTATCAGTCATCTTGATTTATCACGAATTACTAGTTTCGTACAAGGCAATCCAGAAAAAGAACAATCAAATCACGAATTCGTGCGCCTTCTTCACCGTCTTCCACATTTACGTTCTCTTTGTTTAAATATCTCAACTGTTAACTTGTTTTTTGATCGACATTGGCCAAAAATCATTGATCTTAACATGAAGAGCCATATGTTGGATACATCTAAATATTTATCATCGATTGAAATCGACGCATTTTGGCGCTCGTTCACTCATCTGGAACGATTAGCTTTTGATCGTGAAAGTATTCAAGATTTATTAGGATTACTCAACAAGGTGACAACAACTTTATCAAATATATGGATTCGTCATTTTCAAATTATCTGTAATTATGATCCTGAACCGATTGCACGTCAATGGCTCGAACAAAATACAAAATTGACCAACTTTGAATATTTTTACGAGACTTGGTCTTATGTTTATCTATGGCTCTAATCTTATAATATTTTCGATATATAAAATTTAAACTCGAACAAATTATTAAAATAATTAAAAATCGATGAATGACAAAAATAATCTTCTCTGTTTATTTTAAAAAGGAGTTACAATTTTGTTACTATTTGAATAAATAGATGAAAAGTTTACTTTTTTCTCAATTTCTTTTCTTATCTTTGTCATTTATCAATTTTAATTAATAAAAATACATTCAGACAAGAAATTTCTGTTAATATAAACAAGAATATTTTTTTTTTCATTTTTTTGATTATGGATATTCAAAACAAACAAAGAATTATTCTTGAGGGTGTGGGTGTGGGTGTGATTGTTTTTCTTTTCCTAATCTACACCCACACCCACACCCACACCCCACAGAATATATTATAACCATAGAAAAATGATCATATAGAAATCGTAATCTGCTATCTATGACACAAATATCTTCTTGTGATATATCTTCAGATGACTTCAGTCTTTCATAGAAAAATTTTTCCAGCAGGAATTATCTTGTGCGGTGTAGTTGTCGACGTTCTCTTGCCGATATGATATGTTTTATTGTTTTTATCTTTCCTTAGTAACAATCTTTCGTGAATATTATAACAACTTTTTGAATATTTTCTAAAAATCATTTAGAAAGTTGAATATCTACCACGTCTACGTCTATTGATCTATTATTGAAACCGGCCATTTTTAAGTGCAAGTTTTGCCTGTAATCGATCGAAATTATAGGTAAACTCGATACTAGAAATGGTTCGATCAGTCATTTATATGATGTGAGGATGCAAATGTGACTTGTTTTGTCCATCCTTACGCACACCCATTTATACATTTCGAATATTACACTCTCACTGATAAACATATCCATCTGCACGCGTTGAAGACTACCCTCACATCCGCGCCTACATCAAAATTCACTTTATATTAGAAGAAATTGAAAATAGAACAGAATTAGTTGATCAGTATCCGAACGTTTGATTTGCAATTATTTAACTTAGATCTTGAAAAATCGAATCTAATACTTTTATTCAAAGATTTAGCAAATTTATCAAAAATTAATTGCAAAAGACACAAAAAAAACCAAACAGATTAATAAGCCTATGTTGAACAAATCTTATGTGTAAAGAAAGATTGACAAAGAAGCTGCTCATGGTGTTAGCTTTGAAGTTTTCAGAATTAAAAAACCAAGAGAATTAAATTGGCATGTATTGAAGATACGTAAAACATTGTTTACTATATTCAAGAAAGAAAACAATACCATCAAGAAGATGTAACAAATTTATTAGTCGAACTAAATCGAAGAAGAAAAGTTGGCAGTTTAAAGTATATTTAACTTCCTTATTTGAACTCTAAATATATTTGTCTTAATATAATAGATACATATTTTAGATGCTCAAAACCCGGTCAAAAGTGAAAGAATGCTGACGTTAAATGATTCTTCTCATGAATTTTTAACCCGTGATCATTATTCATTTCTACAAAAATTTGCTTCCAAATGCACTGCTTCTTTTACTAGCGAAAGAACGAACGACGTGAATGCACGAAAAAAGGCTAATATAGCTCACTCTTAGACAATAAAATCTGTTCCATCAGCTGCTAGTCGATAATGAGACAAGGTTTTACTTATTCTCCAAGAAAAAGAAAGTAATTCCTAAGAGAGTGCAAACGAACCTAACCGTGCCACTAAATGTTATAGTGTAAGCTGCAAAATTTTCAAAAACATTGTCCAGTAAAGGACCAAACTATTTTTAAATGACATTTTTTCGCCTTTCGATAAACAGAATATAACTTCTTTCCTTGGTTCTTGAAAAATTCAAGCTGCTCTAGAAAATTTTACAGCAGTATTTAAAAATCGGAACATTCAATTATTGATTTTTTTCTGAAGGATTCGCTTCTTAAATTCAACCACAAATTACGTTTTTGCTTCACTCATGGCCATATTTTCATAAAAAAACTGAACCAAAATGGCTATGAGTGATCATCGATATATCATGAATAAAGAGTATTCCATAAGTTCTGAGCCTCAACGAAAATTTGTTTATGTTTAAACAACCAGTAACAACGAATGAGAAAAAAAATAACTTGTGATGATTGTAAAAAACTGATTAATACAATTTCTCATAGACTTGACAAAATGATAAACCGTGATAGAAAACTAATACGGAATAATTCAATAAGATATATTTTCTTTTTAGATTAATATGTGCTTCTACTAACTCAAATATATATTGTTTTTCATCGTTGAAAATAATGCCGATTGATTTCGAGATTTTGATTATCATATTTCTTCTGTTTGTACCACTATTAATAAAAGAGATAATGTCATCGGAGAATATGCCATTTAGAACACCATCTTAAATACTCGAATCTCATACAGATAATGTTAGGTAGGCTCTGCTCTTTGTTCACATATAAACCAATTTTCGTTGAGGCTTAGAACTTATGGGACACCGCTTATATATATAGTTTGACTATTCATTTTCCTAATAAATCTTATACTCTTCAATTGCTGAAAGACACTCAATCGGCAATAAATATTTATTTATTTACAATTTGATCAGTTTCTATTGATGATTTTGTATTTGTTTGAAATCGAATTAAAGAAATATCAATTCAAATATTTTTAGAAGTTGAAACTCTTCAGATTCAGATTGTAAAAGACTTTACTTTTTAAACTAATGGCTTCTTGAATCAGAAAATCCGATCAGAATATATAAGAAAAACGAATATATTATAATTTTAATTAATATAAACCTATTCGTACTGGAGCAACTTGACTTATTACTTGACTACGAATGAAATTCTTCATAATCATTTATATTTAACATAGTAATATTATTTGTCGCTGATTTGAACATTTTTCACGTATTGAGGAACTAAATTATTCTATGTTAATACATTTTAAAATAGTTAATATTAAATAATCAATAATTTTCTGTCATAAACAGCATTAAAAGATAATGTGTTGTCTTTAGACTTTTATTTATTCCTATTCGATTCATATTCATAGAATGATTTTCTTTATAAGCTGAAAGTACAGCATGATTCAGTGATGATGTGAATGATGATTCATTATAATTATCCATAAATATGTTTAAATATGAGCCATTTCGGGTAAAATGGAACATAGCAACTTTTCATTTGACTTTGATACTTAACAAGGATTATTTTTTTTTGACTACGTTCTTCTAGCATAGACATATTTAAAAATGTTGACTCTTAACAACTGGCATAAACCGCATCCATGATAAAATTTTCAGCAAGATCAGAATCTAAAAAATTTCCTCTGGAAAATAGGCTTACTAGAGACCCTATCAAGTCTTGAAACAAAAGTTTTTGTTCTATCATTATCTAAAAATTCTGAAGAAGAAATTTCACTGTTTGAAATTGGTTTTGAACTGTTCATTTGGATATAATAGTATTTTTTCGTTTATATATTCGTACTCCATCACGTTGCTAATGAAAAGTAAATCGAGTTTTCCGAAAAAATCTAGATATACTCAGGAGTTGTGCACAGAATATACTATTTATATTTTCAAACATGCTGCTTCAATTTAGAGGTTTTTTAAAATTAAAATGCATGAAATGAAAGTTGATGTTCCTTTTAACACTAGTTTTTTTCTGATAACTTCTCTGAACAAAAATCTCTTGAGCGAATTTTTTCAGGCTATCTAGAGTCACTCAACATACATATAACAGGTAAAAATTAGTTCTAGAAAAGTTCATTATCTCGAGATACACGTATTTTAATTTTAGGAAGTCCCGTTGCTAACGAATGATTTTGCCCATTTATCGAATCTGTAAAATTGCATCAACAGAAAATGATTTGAAAAAAAATTATTATTTTTTTCTATGGATAAAATAGAATAAGAACTTAAGTTTATTACAATGTAAGACGAATTACAACAGTTAAAAGAATATATCATGGAAAAAAAATTATATTTTAATGTTATGTAAACTATCCAAAGTAGGAAAATAACATAAAAGTTGTGATATTGTTGTATTTTTCTTGTTATCTTGTGAAGCATTTAGTAAATATTTTTTACTTTCTTCTTCACTTGCTCGTTGACCAATATGTTCACCCATTCGAACAAGTGTTTCCATAGAATTCTTTGAATTATGTCGTAAATCATCATCCCATTTTACCATACCAGCTTTAAAGACAATAACAATTGTACTGCCACCATAAGCAAAATAACCTATATAGACACAATATTTACTTTTATTTATATTATTATTTACCATTGTAATAAATGAGAATTTTTATTATCCAAACTTAAAATTCTTCTCAATAATAAACTATGGTACTTTCTGTTGAAAAAGTTTTTGAGACAAAATGTTCGGTCCTTTTTCAACCATCTAAATGTTGCTGAAGAACATTACAAAACCTTTTGTTCGAAAGAAAATTTTTTGCTCTTTCTGAATATTGATTCAGAATTTTTATTTGTCTTATATTTGGTTGTAACTATGAGCAAACGTGCTGTAAGAACGAAAACTAATTTCTATACAAGGGAGATTTGAATTTTTGTACAAAGTGGCTTTTAGGATATTTTTAACTTAGTCGTCTTGTAGATTATTCAATTTTCTATGCAATGAAGTGTGAGAATAACCTAGAGAGTAAATAGAAATTAGAAGTGATGTTCGTTTTCCAAGAAATATTTGGCACCTATAACCGTATTTATCAATGAACTTAATTTTTCAAAATCTCTCTTTTTAAGTGCAAAAGATTTTTTAAAGTTTTGTTTTAATGTATAGAAGAAAATTAGATAAGATATATTATAGCGTAAACTTCATACTATTAAAAGCATTTCACATTTTACTTCGAATAGATTTCAATCGAAACAGAATTGAGGTGAAAATAAAAATTCTGTACCAACATGATTTTCAATCTTTCTAAGTATCTTCTCGTAGAACATCAATCTTCAAGTTCAAAAAAAAAATGTTTAAATACATTCAGAAATATCACAAAATTCTGATTCGAAGAAATCGTTTTCAAATTTTCACTAGGTATTTTCAAATGAGTGAAATCTTTCTTCTCAAGATTTTCTGTAACAACACTTATTCGACATATTTTATAAATACACTAAATAGAGAATATAAAGATTGTCTTTAATCTTACCAAGTTCATCGCCTTTTTCAATTGATTGATGTGGTTTAACAGTCAAATTAATTGAACCAACAAGTAATGCTCCAATGGCTACAAAAGCAACTTTTTCAAAATAATTGCTTTCAATAGTAATCATTGTTCGTTGATTTCTTGTTAAGACATCTATTCTTTCTCTGATTGCAATTGGATTAACTGTATAATAAGTACCCATTATAGTCTTTATATCTTCTCCGATAATTCCTTTGATTGGTGAATGAAAACGATGATAATCAGCTGGTGTTAAACGAAATACTGCTATTGAACCGCCATGAAATTCTTGTGCTAATATTTCATCATCAAATAAATATCGAAGAGAAAATTGATTGCCTTTTATCCATATACGTGTTGCTTCTGATATATTATCAAACAAAATTAAACGACAATCAGCAGCTGATACAATTATATTTGAATCATTTCGATTATCAATAGGTCTTGCATTAGTCTTTAATTTTCGATAAAAAAATTCATTGAATGTAAAATATTTTGATAAATTTGGTTCAAGTAGTTCATTTAAATCAATTTCATACATTTTAATAAAAGCTGGTATATGTTTACGTGATTTTGGTTCATCAAATTCTTTACCTAAACGTAATGTTTCACGAGCAAAAAAATTTCTTATTGCACTTGTATGTAATAATTCACGTTGAACAGGACCACTAAATAGTAATCGCATACCATATTTGTGATAAGTTGGCATTTGCTCAAATATTAAACGATTTGTACGACGATCAAAAACTTTAAAAGCATATTTTATACCTTCTTGGTCTTGATATTTAAATAAATTTTGTTGTAATTCAGGTTCAAAATCTTGTTGAATTATTTCTTGTGTGGGTATAATAGAACGAAAGAGAAAAGCAAAACTATCTTGTGTAATATATGTATGCTCAAATATATTTCCATTAGAATTTAGATCATTTGAACATGTTTGATCAATCATAATAGAAAAAGCCGTTTGAACTTGACTAATTTCTTCATCATCAATAGTTGAAAGAAATTCAGATGAATCTTCTATTGATGTTGCTAGCAATTGATTATTACCATTATTCAAAGAGGTACCAAAATTATTATCATCCATTTTGTTAATTAAATGTAAATGTTTACGCTTTTCTTTTCTTTTTCTTTTTTTACTTAAAAAAATGTAATTGCTGGTTGCTATATGTAAAAAGAAGAAATATAACGATGCTTGTGTTATAAACCAAAATGAAACCATTTTTCCGCTGAAATATTTCTGTAATATGCATTCAAGATGCTGTCTATTTTAGTAAAAAAAAAACAAAATTCTTCATCTTTTTTTCTCTTCCACTTTCCTTGATAAAAACTGACGGTCACATAGTCTTTGAGATTTTAAAAGAAAAAAGAAACATTTGTTTTACAACAAATAGATCAATATGGTTGTATTTGCACACAATGCAACGTGTGTGACATGGAAAAAACCTAAGGAAGAGTATTTAAAAATAAGAAAAAAAAGCGAAAAGCCACACAAAAGAAATTCATTGTCTGTTTAGTTTTCTTTTTTGTTTTATTTAAATAAAAACACTCAGAAACAAGAAAACATCTGAAGTAATAAGATCGAATAGGCAACAAATAATTAAACATATAAACGCGTTTTAATATCGCTTACTCATATAATTGATAAACTAAGATATCAGCATCATTATAAAAAGAGAAAAATGACGGACCGGATTGGAGTTAAACACAAGAATCATTCGAACAATAGAGAACTTGACCGATGTGTTATGATAGACATTATCATATCAACAAAAAATAAATAAAAAGTGAGAAAGAGATAACTAAATGGCATTTTACAAAATGAAGATGAAAAACAATGATTTTGTATGCTTTTTGTTATAAACTACTGTCTTATAATTTAAAAACAAAAGAAGAAACATAAAGCTGTTTTTTCTTTTTCTAATGAATAAGTGTTTGTTCTTGTGAGGTTGAAAAATTTAACACATTTGTTGAAGATGATACAATTGAAGCTGTCGTATTCGTTAATTCAGTACAAAGATCATGAAAAAATTGCTCAGTTTCTTCAAATGTATTTGTTTCTGACATATGATGAAAATTTGTATTATTATTATTACTATCATTGAAATAAAAATTATCTGCTGATGATTTTTGTCTTCTTTCCGCACCGATTGCACGTTTTACTAATACAGTTACATCTGATGCTTGATCAATATTCATTGTTTCACATGTAGAATTATTATTTATTTCATCATTACCTAAAACATTTACTATATCCGAATCAATATCCATACCAATTCCATTATCATTATCACAATTTGTATTGAAATCAATTATCCATCGATTGTTATTATCGAAACTATTATTATTATGACTATTTATGAAAAGTTCGTGTTCGCAAGTTATTGGTTCATTTTCAATTTTTTTCAAAAAACGCCAAACTAACAAACGATTGTGTAACGAAGCTTCTATCGGTCGTTGACGTTGGCTTATTGTTGAACGTTGTAACTGGCAAAATAAAAACATATAAATATTATTTTACTTAATTGTGTTTTTTTTATATACACACACCTTTTCATATGATAATAAAATATACAATTGCATTATTTCGGTTGGATTTGTCATTGTACGTACAAATGTTATGAGATTAGAATCGTGAAAGAATCTAAAAAAATGACAAACGAATAATTTTGTTGTAAGTTTTCTGTGCTTTTATATACAGATTCAATTGCATAAGAATCTATAAGAATATTGCGACATTATGAAATGAGTAAGTATTATATAGTAATAGGACAATTCTTTTTCCCAATATATGATGAGTCATTTAATAAACATGAAACTTTACCTTAACCTAGACATAGAGAAAGAGAAAGAAGGAAAATAACCAATAATAAGAAACAATAAGAAAAATTTTTTGAATTAAAAAGATTTTTCTGAACATTTAATATTTTTGTATGAAGTAAAAAGATGGAAAAGGTTTTTAAATATATAATAGATGTATGTACGACAGATAATGCATCAATGCACTTTGACACTGTTTGGTTGCTATGACGATTAACTGTAGAAAATATTTGAAATGACAGCAATATTGAATTCGGTAAAATAGGACGAGAAAAAAGGTATGCTTATCTTGTGTTCAAGTAAATCATGAAACAGAAAATAGAATCAATGTACCTTATATGAACTTCATAAAAGATATTATAACCGAGATAGTATATAGATATTTGACTTTAGTCAATAAAACTTATAAAAATATTTGAATGAATTTAATGTGAAATACGGTCGTATTATGTCAATAATGAACGAGATTTTCTCTTGTTCCAATTTATGATGTTCTATGGATCATTTATGTTCTATAGATAGCTAAGTCACTAGTAGAGCCTGTCGGTTCCGAAACCAACTCGACTTGCTCTAGCCATGAGGCTTGGATATACTAAAACCTACCTTAGATTTAAGTATCATAGGGTAGTTTCGGCTGATACATTTGGTTCTCTTTTATCAGATTTATAGATTTACTTAGTACATCGAAACTCTTATACAAACGTCAAAACTTTTCATTGCCTTCCGCAGCTAATAGTAATATTTATGTAGTGAAGCAGTTTTAGAAAACATTTTTGAGGAAATTTCAATGTCGGAGCCCACGTTGCCAATGACTTGAAGTAGTAATTTTTGTGAAACAAGCGAAGGACAAACAGTACGGGCGACTCAAGTTAGATAAACTAAAAGCTATCGTAATCTTTCTTCGTTTTCAGTGACTAAGCTTGCATATGTAACAAACATTTTCAACAAATTGAGTAAACTAATTATATAATTCCTTTTCTTTTGTGAACGTTACTGCTTCATCATTACTCTGTTTTTCAATAATGTAGATCGAAAACTCTTCTTTCGAGAGTCAAAATAAAATAAAGACATATATATGTTGGCGTTTCTTTTTGTACACATCTTTTAACACAAGGCGCGAATTTTTTTCTGAATCGTACAAACTTTATGCAGCCTAATGTATGAGTTGGAAATAAGAGGCACTTACTGTATTTCATCTGAATAACATAAAAAGATTTGTCTCTTCGTCTCCCCATTCGAACTTCTCGATAGTGGTCTTTTAATGATTACTGAGTCTACTCTAGATTTAAAACATTCCGCCGCCTATGTTTTGTCTTAATATTCATCTATATTTGGGTCCCATAAAAAAATACAAAATAGATGATAGGGAAAAATTAGACTTGTTTGCAAGCAAGAGAAGATACACTTTATATTTTTTGTTTGCCAAGTATGAAAAAAACACTTCCGTACTATATAACATGAAAAATATAAAAAAGTGAATCGATATTGATTCATAAATAGATCCATCTCATTGATAAAAACCAATGTTTTAATAAAACAGACACAATTTTATCTTAAGAGTGAATTCGGTATATCAAAATGACAACCATCACATATCCAGACATAACACACAAAAAAGGAGTTCCAGAAAAATTCAAGTAAAACTTTATTTGAAATTTGTTTTCTTAATCATATATTTATTCGTTTTCTATATGAAAAATCTAGTCCAAACAGTTACCGAGTAATATCAGAAGAAGTTCCTGAAAATGACAATATTCCATTTTGGTATGGTCACTCTCGTCCACCAGCACTCTATACAGAACCGAATTCCAATCAATTACCTGCACAAGGATCAGAAGCACGAAATAATCCACATGCTGGACGCAAAGTTGATATGGTTTATTCAAATGCAACAAGTTTTAATGCTCCATTTGGTATTGTCAAAACTGATAATGTTAAAAATGAAGAATCACGTTGGTGGGATTGGTCACAACCAGCAGCTGAACCTTATGGACCAGGAGTAAAAAGTCAAGATGAATGGACGAAAATAAAAGAAAGTTCATATCGAAATGCGTTCAATAGTACTGGAGAAACAGGACCTTATGCAAAGAAAAATACACGTTATTCAGCTAATCCATATCATATACGTACAGTAGGAATTGGTAATCAATATTTTTCTGAAATTCAGAAGTTTAAATAACAAAAAAATTTATTTAATTTAGTACCTATTACTGATTTAAAATCTGAAAATCTTGAATCAGTTAATCAAACATTAGCTGAAAAAGTATCGTTCGAACAACAATATAATAGTCGAGATGCAACAAATTATCCTCTACGTGGAAGAGTACGTGTATAAATTAAATTCTAATGTTTATTCATGTATATCTTTTGTTTTTGTTTTTAAATTAAATATTTCATAGCGACATGGTGCATTTGTCATTGAAGAGCAAAAACCTAAAGTAAATTCACCTGAACAATTTGAACCGACATCATCAGCGAAAATTGAACGAACATCAAGTATGTGGGATTTATTTCATCCGGCAGAAAACTTTCGTGGACAAATACCAAGTAATCCATATAAATATCGTCGTCCGTTACCAGAAATAAAACGTACACAAGATTATGGTCAAGTTTGGCAAAATGCTCCATTTGCCAATGATTATCAAGTTGATCAACGTTGTCAACCACCATATGCTATTAAACAAGTCAATATCGATTGATCGAAATGATTTTTTTCTTCCGATTGGTCAGATGTTAACTTGTTACTTTATAACAATTTCTTTTTATTGTGTGATATAATCATTTTATGTCTCTTCCGCACATTCCTATTAATTCTTTATTCATTGATCTAAAAGACAAAAAGAAAAAGAAATGACTTTTTTTTACCGAATAATTTACAGATTTTTTTGTTTTCCTTAATGGATCTATTTCAATCATCCACATTAAAAGCACTTTTCGATCCACCAACAGATGATTTAATATCAGGACTTGAAAGTATTCAATTTAAAACATTATGCCCTGGTGAATATAATGATTTATTTATTCAATTACGTCGTCGTTCAAATTTACTAACAGCAGCACATATAGCTCATGCATGTCATTTTGTTTCACTTGCTAATCGTATCAAGTAAATGATTATAAAAAAAACAACAATAAAATCATTTCATGTTTTTTTTTAAATAAATATATCTTAGACGTGAAGGTGAAAAATTAAAAGGTACACCAGATAAAAAACGAAGTCATCGTCTTATGGCTGAAGTACGTCGAGAACCAGGTCTTAAAATTGGTATTATTGGTGTTGGACGTATTGGACATTTACTTGCCACATTTTTGTTAAAATATGGAGATGTTTATTCAGATGAATTATGCCTTGTAAGTATTCAAAGTTAGTAATACTTAAATAGCAATTAACTTGTCGTTTTAACGATCAGATTTTTTTCAAATGTTTAAAAATTATTATTTGTTTGTTTTCTTTAGTCAAGTCGACAAGCTGATTTATTATGTATGTTCATAGAAGTACGAATTTTGTTTTTTTCTTAAATAAGAAAAATTCTTTTAGCTGACATGGTTCAGAGTGGAGTAGGATTTTGTAAATTTAATAATGCTTATATTGTTCAACGTTGTGATATTGTTTTTCTATGTGTTGCACCACATCATATTCGTTACATAATTGATGATATTCGTGATCGTATCAAACCGAATGTTCTTATTTATAGTCTTGTACTTGGTTTTCCTGCACTTAAACTTGCTTCATTATTAAAACATACGTTATTTATAAAACCATCATATCAATGGAGTGAATTTATCGATAAAGATGAATCTCTATGGCCAATAGCTGATGATATTGAAAGTGTACTTAAAAATGATATTCTTATGAAAAGAATTAGCTTAGAAAATGAAGATCAAAATGGTAAAATAAAGAATAATTAACAATTTTGATATTTTCTTATATTATTTCTATAGATAGTCTTGTACGCGATGATCAACTTGTACCAACAATATTCTATGCTCTATTGAATATTTTAAAACAAAATGCGTTATTAAATCGAATTCAATCATTAAAAGTTCTTTCAGCATTATTATTTAATAATTCAAATATTGATTTAATTATTGAAAAATTTGATACTATTGAAGCAAATAATGAGTAAAAAAAGAGATTTAAAAAAAATATTATTCTCGATGATTTCATTTCGTTTTTTTCATAGATATTTTCCTGATTTTGATCTTGTTCATTTGACAACAAAAACAACTATTATTCGAGATTTACTTGATCATAATACAAATCTACGTCGTTTATTTTCAGAGACATTTATATCACATTTTACTCAATTTAAATCCAATTATTGATAGAAATAAAAAAAGAAAAAAAACCACCGTCTACTAACAGACATTTATTCTGCTGTATCAGTTTGAATACTTGTTTTAAATAATTCAAATAAAGCTGTAACAATTTCACCTGTTATAACTTCATTTGTATTCATTTGCAAAATATATAAAACAAGTATACCATCTCGACCAAGATAATTTCTTAAAAAATTTGTTAATAAACGATCTTCCTCATTAGGCATCGAAAATGGTACAATTGTAGGTACTTGTATTGGCTGTGGAGTTGATGGTGATGGTGGTGTTTGATCATCAGCTGATGATGCTGTATTTATTTCATTATTTTCTGTTGATGTTATAGGAAGATTTAATTGATCATGTAC